GTCACTCCTGAGGTTCACCATCCAGCCAAAGATTAGACAGTCCCATAAAACAAAACGAGACTAATGGGGCACAACAGTCCAGGGACAAGGACCAGAAGGCAGGAGGGGACAGGAAAGCTGGTAATAGGGAACCCATGGTTGAGAAGGGACTGTGTTGACATGTTGTGGGGTTGTTAACCATTGACATAAACCAATATGTGTGCTAACTGTTTAATGAGAAACTATTTGTTCTGTAAACCTTCATCTAAAGTACAATAAAAAAATTTTTTAAAAAAGATGGAGAATTTTGATACAGAATTGGAATCTAAAAATAATAAGCAGATGCACATTCTGAAGCTGAAATATATAATATCTAAAATTAAGAACTCATTGGATAAGACTAATCAGATACAGTAGAAGAAGACTGGACACAGAATAAGACAGAGTTAACTCAAAGACAAATTGAAAATATCCAAACCAAAGAACGTAGAGAAAATAAAATGGCAAGAACAGACCATAAGAGACTTGTGGAACACAAATAGTCTGACGTGGGTATAATTGGAGTCCTAAAAGAAAAGAAGAGAGAGATCAGGACAGAAGCAATATTTGGAGATAGAATGACTCATAATCTTCCAAAAGTGATAAAAGACAAACTGTATACAAAGTACATTAAGCTCAGGAAACCTCTCCTGACCATAGCATTTCTCCAGGGCCCCCATTCTCTAAAATTTATATTTCTGCCTCCTTTCATGTGAATGAGTTGACACGTTTTATTTACTTCCTCAGAATCTGTTCAGAAGTTTTTCATTAAGTATATACTCTGTCTCCTTGCTTCTTAAGAATAGGGGCTATTTTTAGTATTTCTTTTCTATTTCTCTAATATTTGATATAGTTTGCTGTATAGTAGTTGTTTAATAAAGGTTAACTTACAGAATTTCAATCTGTGTAAGAAACTAAGATGCTTAGCAGTATTCCAAGTGATTTTTATCATATTTATTTCTGAACTCTAGTAATATAAGGAAAACAGAAACCATACCAATTATTTTAATAAAGATAATTTAATATAAAGAATTGGCTAACAGCTGCAGTAACCCTAGGGCTGGAAAGGGGATTAGAGTTATTAGAACCTAGAAGCTTGGAGGAGAGGCCTCCACAGAGCTAGTACCATCAGCACCTGAGAGAGTGAGGATACCCAGCTGTTGCTGGTATTTATGGAGTTCAGAGAAGGTGCCCTGCACAGTTGTGACTCAGACATCCATGGAGGGGGTATCTGCCTCGCTGGTTTTGGCAGATTGTATTTTCCAGAGATGACTGCAACAATATCTCCTGTTCCACACACTCTTTGTATGTGACTTTGACATTCTTATGAAGAGGTAGGAAGGCCATGTTTTTACCCTTGAATCTGAGCCAGCTTATGACCATAGCAAAAATAGCACTATGTGACTTCTGAAGCTTTCACTTGGATTTCTTGGAATACTCGCTTTTGAAACAGTGAGCTATCATGTGATGGCCATACTGTGAGGAAGCCCAAACTAGACTGCATGGGAAGACCAAAAGAGAGAGATGTCCAGTCAGCCCCCAGCAGTTCCCACCCCCTGCTGTTCCAACTCCAGCTACCGTTTCATTGCAACCGTATGAGAGGCCAGAGCCACAAATGCCCTGTGAAGCCCTTCTTGAATTCCTGAGCCATAGAAACAAAAATTATTGTTTTAAGTCATTGAGTTTTGGGGTAATTTGTTATGCAGCAGATTACTAGAACACTGGTGGTAGTACCTCAGGAGTTCAGAGGAGGTGACTCAGACCTCTGAGAGGGCACTATGAGGCTCATTCTGGGAATGCTGAAGAAAGGCTTGAAACTGAAATCAAGTGGAACAGTCAGGGTGAGGGACCAGGACCACACTCACAGGAACGGCAGGCAAACAGAAAGGAGCAAGTCCCAACCCCCACACCCCCCGACTTTCAGTCTCTAGTTTTTCTTTTGGGCCAAAGCTAACAGAACTAGCTGGCCGAGGAGAAATGTCGTTTGCAGAGTTCTAGCCCCAGCATCATAAGTCAGAGTATAGAAAATAGCTTGATAATGCACAGGCACAAATCCTCAGATCTTTTTCTCTAATAACTAAGTAAAATATGTTAGATTCTCAGTATGGATTTGACCATACCAGGTCAGTGTATCCAGTATATCTTTGGTGTGATTTTAGACCTTAGGAAAAGGATTTACTTAATAAGAACATGCAGACAGCCTTTGGTTTCTCTGACTATAGGTATGATCCAAAGGAGAACAAGTGGACTCGAGTGGCTTCTATGAGTACCAGAAGACTAGGCGTGGCAGTGGCTGTGTTAGGAGGATTTTTATATGCTGTAGGTGGCTCTGATGGGACATCTCCACTCAATACAGGTTAGTCCCTCCCAAAGTCAGTCTGATTCCCCCAAACCAGCACATTTTCCTTAGGAGAATTCCTCTGTAAAAAGTATAGAGTCCAGGTTACCTTGTAACTTACTAGGAAAATACTTTATTTTCCCTGTAGGAGAGTACAACTCTCAGCTCTTCAACTTTATAAGCCAGTCTTCTATTACATTCCCAAAATATTTTTCTCCTTCTATGTTACAAGCTACTAGAAATGTATAACAAATAAAAGAACTATTTTCTGTGTATGATTATTTTTCTCCCCCCACCACTGCCACCACCTCTCCTCTCCTCAAAAAAAAAAGAAAAAGTCTATGTTATAATCTAAAAATAAAAATTTCTAACTAGAAACTGATTTATTAATCTTTTCTATGTTGAGATAGTGGATATTTTTGTCTAAGGATGTTGTCAGTGTGACTCTAGCCTCAGATTCATTATCAAATATCTTATCTTCTTAGTAGTGAAAGGTGCTGAAAGATCAGATAGTCCATTCCCCTCATTTAAAGATAAGAAGAGTTGGGCTGAGGGTCATCTAGCTAATTAGTGATATAGCCAAAACTAGAATTTATGTGTCTTAACCCCACCAACATGCCCTTTCCACCATACCGACCTGAAGGAAACCAGTCTTTTATGAGAATGTATGTGGTATTGCCCAAAGTTATACAAATCCTTCTCAGAAGCGAAAATCAGAGTGCTTATTGAAAATGTGTGAAATCACAAAGTTTGGGGGCTGTGAGGAAAACTAGAGATGAAGTGAAATGGTTGAATGGTCACTCACTGGTTTTTCATTTCCCTACAGTGGAGCGCTACAATCCTCAGGAAAACAGATGGCACACTATAGCCCCTATGGGGACCCGGAGGAAGCACCTAGGCTGTGCAGTGTATCAGGACATGATCTATGCCGTAGGAGGTAGAGATGACACTACAGAGCTTAGCAGCGCCGAGAGATACAACCCTAGAACCAACCAGTGGTCTCCAGTGGTGGCTATGACATCCCGCCGTAGTGGAGTGAGTGCCTCCTACTTCCCCAGTTCCTGAGGTTCAGAGCTTTGAAAAACAAGCACCAAGAGAGGGCTTTGCAGAAGGAGAGCTCTGATCTGTAAAATATTGTACATTGCACAGTTAGGAGGTGAACTGCTAATGCCTAGGTGTTTTGTTTTTCAGCTGTCTTATCTGGTGCTGTTGGGTCGCTTTTAGACAAAACAAAAACAAAAAAAAACCAAACCCATTGCTGTCAAGTCTGTTCCAACTCATGGCAACCCCATTGTGTGCAGAGTAGAACTGTCCATAGGGTTTCAAGGCTGTGACCTTTCAGAAGCAGATCAGCAGGCTTATCTTCCAAGGTGCCTCTGGATGGGTTCAATCCCCCAAGCTTTCAGTTAGTGGTCAAGTGCAAACTGTTGTACCACCCAGGGACCTGTGCAAAAGTATGGAGGTATGAAAATTGTATGATCCTTTCAGGGACTAGGAATTACTTCAGAATTACTACAGCATAGAGTATATTAGGAAGAAGGGGAAAATGTAAGAGGTGAGGCTAAAACAGTTAGCTAGAATGGATTTCCAGAGTGCCTGAATAACATAATAAGGACTTTAAACTTAGGTAGTCAGGAAGCTTATAAAATTTTTAAGGAGGAAAGTGACAGCATTGTTATTTTCAAAAGAGAATATTAGTGGAAATTTAGAGTGGATTAGAGCAAGCATATACCAGAGGAAGTGAAAGCAGTTTAGAGGTTCTTGCATACTCCCAGTGAATGGCTTTCCTAAAATTTGAGAAATATGTTTTGGACTCTGTAAATGTTCTAACTGAATGTATAAAGTTCCCATAATTTAGTAGATTTTTGTGTCATTACTTTTTTCCTCTATGTTCAAGTAAACCAGAATATAAAGCCATACAGAATTCTTTTATTAAAGAGACTTATCTAGAAACCAGTCTAAATTTTCCCAATAATTGTCTAGTTTCTCCAGCAGCCACTGTGTTTTCGTCCTGTAGGTTGGCCTGGCAGTGGTGAATGGACAGCTTATGGCGGTAGGAGGTTTTGATGGCACAACGTACTTGAAGACCATTGAAGTTTTTGATCCTGATGCCAATACATGGAGGTAACCTTTAAGCTGTGTTACAGATCATCTCACTACTGACTTGGAAATCATAGGCTTGAAATAGCCTGTGACCATCAAAATCAGGATGGTCGGTACACTGAAGTACCTCTTGCAATACTCTGAAGAGGACTTGAAGTTACCCATATTTGATGGCTCAGTTTGACTTGATTGGTCTAAAGTGGCTGACATCTTACAAAATTCTTCTCTTCGGTAACTGTCCACTTTTAAAATTAGAGCTTGAAGAAAAAGAAAAACATCTCCTCTGTAGCCCCATCATGTTCAGCTGAGGAAACTAAGGCATCAAGAAATAAAATGAGTTGCCTAAGCAAGTTAATGACAGAGTTAGGATTAGAACCTAGGTCTTTAGTTCTGAATCTGTCAGTGTAATTTTTTTGGTGTTTTTGTGGGCAGCTGTATGCCCAGGGAAAACAAATAGCAGTTGCTTATTTTTTTTAAATAATATTTTGTTTCAGTTTTAAACCTGTTTTTCCCTTGAGCTTTTAAAGTTAACTTAAATATATTTTATCATTCTATTTTAAAACCTAGTCAATTTTAACAGTCACTTTTAGTGGGGAGGCTACATTTATAGGTTAAATTTTACTTCACTTTTAAATTCTTAGACTTCACAATCCTATTCATTCAGTAAAGGTTTACTGAGTATTCTAGGCCCTAGGAATACCAAAGTGAACAAAATTCCTGCCCTCACGGAGCTGACATTGTAGTGAGGGAGACAGACAGAACCATGCCAGGGGGTGGAAGTGCTATGGTGAAAAGGGAGGATGATAAGGAGTACAGGGAGGTAAGTCAGTTTTAGAGGTGGTCAGGAAGGCCTCACTGAAAAGTAACATTTTAGCAAACCTGATAAGAGATAAGGGATGGATAATGGCGTGTTTTCATGAATAGAGGCCTCCCAATTGAGGGATTTTTTTTTTCCACTTCCAGCTTTTAATAGGAATTTTAGTTAAGCATAATTTGGGAAGTAAGTCAAATTTAGTTCTGCCACTTAATTACTGTGATCCTATGTAAGGACTTGTTTCTTAGGGTCACTAAATAGAATAAGTTATATATAACCAAGTAATCTCTCAACAGCTTATCCTCAAGAATTTCATGAATATGACCAAGTAATATTCATGAAATTCTTGAGGATAAGCTATTGAGATTACTATCTAAATTTTTACAATTACATATCCCAAACTTAAAACCATTTACCTCATAGCTGATAGACAATCTAGTATTCTTTCGTATGGAAATGCTTTATTTTAAAGATGATATTGTTCACATGTCACAAACTAGATACTGACTTTATTTACTCATATCCAGTTTTGTTCCATAAAGGGTTTGAGGAAGCTTACAAGATTACATAGAAGACAAAAAAAAGAAGAATAAATAATCAAGGAAGTTTAGGCAAAGGGAAAAAGTGGATGGGGAAAATAATATAGCCCAGGACAAAATTAGATGGAGAAACGCAGAACATATGATTCTGTGTTATTAGAAGCCAGTCAAGGTGTAAGGTTATGATGCAAAAAGTAGATAAGATGGTTTCCTATCCTTCAAACAGGCTCCCGTAAATGAGAGCAGTTCAGTGTCTGAAATAATTCGGCTACTTACCAGGGCTCAATTCCAACTTCTCAGTTTTAGAATGTATGAAGTTGAAAATATTAGTTGTGATATAAAACAGAGAGGCATGTGTTTGATTAACTCTTAGTTTATGGAAGAAACGGTGCTTTTTCCAGTTAGAAAATCTGATTTTGTTTCTTCCTTTGCAGGTTATATGGCGGGATGAATTATCGTCGACTAGGGGGTGGCGTAGGAGTTATTAAAATGACACATTGTGAGTCCCATATATGGTAAAAATCTAGAAGATGGTCATGTATACATATGCTCCTCTGTATTCTGGAGAGCTTTGACTTTGAAGCTTTGTACAACTCAAGAAAACATTACAACAAATTTTATTCTTTGCCGGTGCCTCAACATATGGAAATACAAATCCAATGAAAATACTTCACCTGCAAGATGCCACCTTTGCACAATAATTTTCAACCCTGTGCAGAAGAATATTTATTTTTGGTTTTAATTTATCATGAACTTTTTTTTGTACTCATCCTTCCTCCCACCAAAAAAGAAAAAAGAAAGAAAAATAAGACAGAAATTTGAAGCAGCAAAACTTTATTTTTAAGGTATTGATTACATTTGAAAATACTAATAAGAGGAGAAGGGCTATGTATGATCTGGGTTGTTATTTCTAACACTCCACCCACATGACTCCACTACTTATAAGGATTGCCTGTGACAAAGATATGCAAAATGTGTTAGCTAGCCATCATTCTTGCACTTAAAGCACCAGAAGACTTGGAAATTTAAAAAAAAAAAAGGAAACATCTCATTTTAAGTAGTACACTTCAAAAGAAAGACTAAATCAGTAAAATCAGGACTCAGTGCTGCAGTTTTCATCAGTGGAAGTTTGAGTCTTGTTTCCTTCTGTTATTTGAACCTAATTGTTTTCTGCTGTATTTAAAGTCTTTTTTCATAATACTCTCATAGAGTTTCTGCTAGATCTAGAGCTCTGCTCAGTGCCTCTAAAAAAAACAGCATATGAGTCTCATGCTGTCTTTGAGAATCACCCAAAAGAATCATCTGCAACTCTGCAGGAATTTTTGCCAACTGAAGCAATTTTTCTCCCTATTTTCTTATTGCCACCAAGGACCAGCAGGGAGAAATGTACTCTCCCCATCAGTGAATACTGTTATGCAATTCTTTATACGTGATGCTCAGGCCTGGTGAAGCTGAGGCTTACCTTTAATCAGCCTTCAAGGGAGTGAATTCTTCAGTTCATATAATAATACACATTAATGAGTATAAAACCAACTGAGGCATTTTATTAATAATATCTTGGTTCTTTTATACAAACTATATATCATTATCTTCATTCCACAAGGCCACTGCTACTACTTCTCTCAAATTGCACTTTCTGGTGAACAGTTAAAAATTTTAAGAGAAAAAAATTCAGTGGTTAAAGTATTTTTTTGTTTTTTGTTTTCATTGTGTTCATAGATAAATTTTTTTCAGTGTATTTTGCAGGAAAATGTTTGAACAAGACTTTAATCGCAACCGAAACGAATAACCTTCTCCACCCTCCCCCCGCCACAAAAATATCTGGCAACTTTTATGTTTACATTTAAAGATCATTTGCACCTTTACAAGGAAAAAAAATATGTATTTGTTAAACAATTGTTTACATGTATCATTTATGCTTTTTTCTAGCATGTATAACTTTTTTAAATAAAGGTAGTATTTACCATAAAAATTTTTTTTGGCTAATGCTTTTTATAGCCCACTAAGGATGTAGAGTCAAAATACCATGATTTAAAGATACTAAAAATAATTGTGTGATTATGCCGTGAACCTAACATAGCTAGGTTAATTTGTTTTCAGTTTTTAGATTGCTTTGTTTTTCCCTTTTAGTTTCATAATTATATGAAACATGGTTCCAAGCTATAAACAAGGAACATTCAAATCAGTCTAACTTCCATTTCTGTCCCCTGTATTCAGTTCCTTCCCCTTATGAGGAACCACTTGTATAAGTTTTTAGTTTCTCCTTCCATGGTTTTTTTTAAAACATAAGGAAATACACACACAGGTATACTCATTCTTCCCCACTTCCTTACATAAAAGGTAACATATTATATACTTTGTCCACACCTTGCTCCTTTTCATCTCCTGGAGAGGTGGTGGAATATTTTGGAAAAGGATAACAGTAATTGTGGCACAACATGAAAAATGTAATCATCATTGAATTGTAAGCATGGAAGTTGTGCTGGCTAATGTTTCAGTGTGTATATTTTCACAGGAAAAACAAAACAAACAAAAAACAATATATCCTGAAGATCACTCCATGGCAGTATATAGTTTCCTTAATCCTTGTGATAGTCTCATAGTAATTCACTGTGCAGCTATACCATACATACTTTATTCAACCAGTTCCCCTCTGATAGGCATTTGGGTTTTTAGTCTTGCTATTACAAATACACCCACTCCTCACTTATTGACAAGGTGAGGCTCCAATGACCAGGTCATTTTGTGAAAACTGGCATTATGCAAAAATGGAAGATGACTATATCATTACATATCTGCCAAATTACATAACTGCCAAACCACTGAGAATCATGGCCCGGCCAACTTGACACATAACCATCACAGCCAGCGTTACTCTCACCTCGTACTTCAGCATTTGTTAACTGCCAGACATACGTCAGTCGTTGATGCGCAAAATAGTCAGATAGTAGATTTTTTACTATTGTCGTAAATGCGAAATGTCAGATAAGACGGTCAATAAGTGAGGAGTAGGTGTAGTGTCGTGATCAAATAGCCTTGTGCATGTTTCATTTTGTATTTTTGCCGGTGAATCTTTCGGATAGAATCCTGTAAGTGGGATTGCCAGCCAATAAGTAAATGCACACAATTTTGCTAGATATTGCTAACTTTTTCTCCATAGGGGTTGTACCATTTGTAATAACCTGTCTTCCCAACTTCCACTCTCGTCCACCTACAGCTCATTCTCCCTTAGCAATCTTATAAAATACAAATTGGGTCATATTACTCTCCTGCTTAAAATCCTTCAATGGCATTCCATTACATTTAGAATAAAATCAAATCTCTTCACAGGTCCTACAAGAATTTAGATGATCTGGATCCTGTCTGTCTTTATCAGCTAGGATTAGTTTTGGCTATGAGCAAAGGAGACCCCAAATAACAGTAGCTTCAACAAAATAGAAGTTTACTTCTCTGACACTTAAGTCTGGAGGAAGGCCATTCAAGGCTAGCATTGGACTTCAGCTTCAAGAAGTCCTCAGAGCACAAGCTCCTCCCAGACCATGTTCCACCATCCTTAAGACCTGACCCTCATCCCCATGATCTAAGAGAGTAGCTAAAGAACCAGTCATTACATCAGTGTTGCAGGCAGCAAAGATGGAAGAAGGGATGAAAAAGAAAAGGAGCAAGGGATACATGGCAGCTGCTTTTTAAGGAAAGTTCCTGGAAGCTCTACATGATACTTCCATTTACATCCTATGGGTCAAAACAGTCATGACTATATTTGCCTGTGAAGACTGAAAAATGTCTTTATTGTGGGTAGCCAAGTGTTTAGCCAAAAATTGGTAGATATTGGTAGAATTCTCTGCAGCGTAACTTCTTCAATTTCATCTCATACTACCCCCACCCCCGACTATGTTCCATCCACACAGACTCCTTTTGTTTCTCAAGCCAAGCTCTTTTCCTACCTCAAGGCCTTTGCTTTTGCTGTTTCATCTGCATAGCACACTCTTCCTCAGATCTTTATGTCTGATTCCCTCTCATCATTCAGAACTCAAAGGTCACTTCCTCTGAGAAACCTTCCTGACTACTGTACATAAAGTAGGCCCCACCTCAGTCACCCTTTTTCATATTGCTGTCCCTTATCTTCTTCATAGCATTTATCACTATCTGAAATTATTTCCTCCACTAGAATATAATTTCCACAGGACAGGGGCCTTTTTTTAGTCTTCTTCACTGCTATATCCCTATTGGCCAACACAATTCTAAGCATATAATAGTAGGAGCTTGATATTAGTTGAAGAAATGAATGAATGCTCCAAAGCCCATTCTCTTTCCACTATCTTTGCTGCTTCTAGTATATCTGAAATAATGTCCCAATTCAATCTTTGCTTTTAGAATGACAGCCTATTAAAATTACTTTCTTTCACATAAGATTTTTAAAAACATTATTTCCAAGGGAAAACAAAACCTTTCTATGCTCAGTAAGTAAAAAGATTTAGATATAATATTTTGAACAAGTCTCTTACGTTGCTTGATCTCATAGTTTTCATCTGTAAAATGGAAGTGTTGGTTAAAATTCATTCACTTAATCTAGATATTTATCAAGCGCTATGTTAAACACTAGGGACATGAAAGGTTAAACAAGACCATTTCGGCCCTCCAAAGGGGCTCACTAGTCCTTTCAATGCTACAATTTTTATGATTCTATTTAACTGTAGGATTGTAACCTTTATGCTAAAGAAAAAGCCTACCACTTCCCATTTAAAAAGAAAGTTGCCATCGAGTTGATTATGACTCACGGTGACCCCATGTGTGACCCCATGTGTGTATTGTTCTTGGGTGCCATTCAAGTCCATTTGGACTCGTAGTGACCCCAGGTGACAGAGTAGAACTGTCCCACAAGGTTTTCTAGGCTGTAATCTTGACAGAAGCATATCACCAGGTCTTTCTCCCACACAGCTGCTGGGTGAGTTCGAACCCCAATCTTTTGGTTAGCAGCCGAGCATGTAACTGTTGTGCCACCAGAGCTCGTGTGTTTATTACTGAGACATTAATTAAAAGAGCTGTTACCAAGACACTGATAAACATACTGGTTCATTTTAAAAGTAAATATTTAATTCAACATTGCAATAAGAATTGAACAGTTTAAAAACAGAAGCAGGTTTGTGGCTAAAAAATTCAAATATTAATCTAGTTTCCTTCGGAGGTGATTCTGATTGCCAGTTCTCTATAGCAAAATGAATTGTCTTTAGGAAACAAATTCTCTAAATGCAAGTCTAAAGTGCCCAAAAGAGATAATAGGTTTTAAAGACCCAAATCAGAAATACCCAATATAAAGATATCTCATTTGACTCCTGAAGGGTTGGCATAATAAACATTCTGTATTTTTTCAGAGAGAAAGAGGTGACCAATAAATAAGCAACTCAGCATTTTCTATAGGCTGGCATCCTAGATCAAGATAACTAGTACACAGCACCTGGCTCATCCACTACCATCTCCTTTGTTCTGAATCGTTCTTGGCTTCCATCTGAGCCACTCCAGTGGCACTGTGAGGAAAACAGATGCAGAATAGATGCCCATTTCCCAGCATGGCAGTTAAAAAAGAGTATATAATCTATAACTTGTAGTCCATACAAGGCCTCACTCAATTTGAAAAATTGCCAGTTCTGTCAAATACGCCAACACTCCAATAAGGTATTTATGACACAGAATCTGAAAAAAAATTAAAATAGAATTAATTATAATCACAAAGCAATTCGATTTTGAACAATCCATGTTACATTAGTCTAATTGCTAGAATTTAGTCATTAAACCCACTACGATTAATCCAAAAGCAATACTTCTGTTAAAAATGTGCTAACACTAAGTGTCCAGTATCAGTGTGCACTTAGCTTCACAAAGTGACGACTGAGACAAAAAACTTTATACCTCAATGGAAAAGGTAGATTGATATAAATAAATATTCTAGGCTAATTTAAATCTCGTATCTACAAGATGTGAATATGAACCCAAACCACTGTTACTCTAAGTCAAACAGATTGTATTTAATGAAGATTACTACTTTCAATAAATTTACAACTATTAGTCAATGGGGTTAAGAAATAATTAGACCAGGGTTCTTATTTATCCTGAATGGGCTGATATCTGCCCAAGGGGTGGAAAAAGGAAGGGGTATCTATGAACCCTTGGTCTTACATGCAAAATTTGAGTATCTACCTTTCCCAGAAAAATTCCATAACTTCCTGATTCTCAAAGGGATTTGATTCCAAAAAGTACCTTGTAGAAACTAAGTAGTTGGCAGAAACGTAGTTAATACATTAATTTCAAACTTTTTGAGAGGCAGTATAGTGTTGCAGTTAAAAGTAAAAGCTTTTGAGTCAATGACTGGGTTCAAATTCTGACTCCTCTTACTAACCCTGTGATCTTAGGGAAGCTACTTATCTGCTCTGTGCTTCAGTTTCCTCTTATGTAAATAGGTTGTTAATATATGTAAAGTGCTTAACAATAAACATTAGCTATCATCATGGCACACTGTTGGAATCTAGGAGCCACAGTTACTGTCTTCTATCATTAACAGAGGTTCTGAGATTTAGAATAGATGAAATAAAATAAACATGTTTAATTTACATTCATAGATGGATAATAACACATTACATAAAAGTTTTTAAATAACAGTTTACTAATAAGAGTGTAGGTATATGGAAACAAAATTTAAAATTATACAAGGATTTCTTCAACAGTGAATTCCAAGGCACTAAAACCTGTATTTTTTCTTTTAAGATATAAATATAGTATAATACAGTCTTTCAAATTTTCTACTGTAAACTCTAGTAAGAAATTAACGTAATGACCCAGTACACATACCCTTATCACATAATACTCCCATTATTTTTATATTTTCTATTTCTTTCCTTTTTGGTTTTTTAATGATGGTCTCTTCCCATCAAAATTATTTCCCAACCCTCCATTGAGTTATGACTTCCAATTTGAAAAGCAGTAGTATAGTGGATAGAGTGTGGACTTTTTGGAACCTAAGAGATTGAGAGTCAAATCTTGACAACTCCTCTTACTAGGCTGTCTTGTACGTGCCACTTAAACCTCTCTTGGCCTCAATTTCCTCATTTTAAAAATAAAATGTGTTCAGCAACAAGATATTTGTGATGGTTGCACAACATGATTGATGTAATTGGCATCACTGAATTGTATATGCGAAAAAAGTTGAACTGACAAATGTTGTGTGATCTATATTTTTACAACAATAAAAAATAAATAAAATGTGGATAAAAACACCTAACTACTGGGTTACTCTAAAGATTAGAAATAAGGTATGTTAAACCCGTAGAACAGTGACAAAACCATAGGGAACATTTGCTGAATATTTATTGTAGCTTTTTATTTTAGGTGCCAACTCTGCATTTATTTCTGATCCTTCTTATGATAAACAATTATTAGAGGACAAAGCAATGTCTCTATTATTTCTTTCCCAGTTTGGATAGGAAAATCTAAATTATAAACATGGTTTCTTCTGTGTTTCTGGCTATAATTGTCTTATCTAACACACAAAATCCTCTGTTACTCTGATTATTTTAAAATTTGTCAAGAAACAATTTTTAAAGTTTAAAAAATTATTAGAGGATAATAATTCCTATTATTACCAGTCTGTAGCACACAGCATATAGTGTCTTTCCATTAGAAGTACACTAGAAGGCTTGTCTATAAAGCATAAAATAGTCTCCCTACTGTCCCAAAGTGGCATACAATTAAATGTTTCTTCGATGTGGAAATACAATCACCATTTTGAAAACTATACAACAACAAGGAAAAAGTACTTAACTAGATTTAATTGTTCAAACTAACCTTTATTTTTCCATCAGTATGTGCTGAAGCTACAGATGTTGAAACACGAACCAATCTTGTGGCTGATAAATGAATTTTGAAATGTCTATGGAAATGTGAATAAAGGCAGTCCATGAATAAGTCAACTTCCTCTTGGGTAACTTCCCCAGGTGTTTTGTGGATGCTGTCCCACAAAGCTTTTGCATCCTCTGGATGTATGGCATAAGAAATGTCCAGACTTTGAGGGCTACAGGGTACAGACCAAAGAAATTCAGTAGTAGCCATGTAATGGTCCATTTTGCATGCAGTCCACATAGCAGCCATCCAGGAAAGATTAAATGCATTGATTGATAAGGGACTGAAATAACAGTCAAACGTTTTCTGAAACCAGGTTCCAATTATGGCTGTATTAGCCTCTGCTCCATTTGCAAGGAATAAGGGTAGACAGGTGAAATCTTCTGAAACAGTTTCTAGAAGACTCTCTCCAAATATACAGCAGAACCAACCAGTCCACAACACTTTACCTTCTGTGTTCTCAGATGGCCGTTGAGATTTTGACAGAATCTACAAAGAAAGAAAAACAGGTTCTATAAATTCATTTACTCGTAAATTACATCTTCTTAAAATTAGTACATTTAAAAATAAGATCTGTTGTATTATTTGGCAAAACACAGACACGCGTGCGCGCACACACAATGGAATAATCTCCTTAGTTATTATTAGGACTTATCAAATTAATTGACGTTTCTCTCAATATTCTTACAGAGACATGGTATATGGCAAGATCTTGGTGCAACCAAAATGTAAAATATGGCATAACCAGATGTAATATCCTGAAAAAGAATCTTAAAATCTCAACTTTAGAAGGGACTACAAAAGTCACCAAATCCAACTTCCTTGAATTCTTCCATTAAGGAAGACTTCAGTATTTCCTAAGGCAGTTCTTTCTATCAACTTAAAATGTGTTTCATAGGTTAGTTTTCACCCATGGACCCTGCTTTCTTCCTTAAGTGCCTATAGAACAAATCTAATCCCTCTTCTACAAGAAAAGCCCTTCAAATTTGATGGTCGGTATCCCATATACTGGAGCCCTGGTGGCAAAGTGGTTAATAGCTGAGGCAGCTAACCAAAAGGTCGGCAGTTTGAATCCACCAGCCACTCCTTGGAAACCCTATGGGGCAGTTCTACTCTGTCCTGTAAGGTCGCTATGAGTTGGAATTGACTCAACAGCACACAACAACCATCACATATACTAAGGAGCTCTGATGGAGCAGTGGTTAAGCACTTAGCTGCTAACGAAAGGTCAGCGGTTCAAACCTACCAGTCAGTCCAAGGGAGAAAGATGTCACAGTCTGCTCCTGTAAAGATTATAGCCTTGGAAACCTATGAGGCAATTCTACTCTGTCCTGTCGAGTTGGAATCGACTCAACAGCAAAGGGAACAGGCTTCACATATACTACCAAGTCTTATCTTGCTCGTATTCAACATCTCCAGTTTCTTCAACCATTGCTCCATGACATACATTCGAGGTCTTACACTATCCTGCTCACTCTTCTCTGAAACTCTTCTACATGCAAGACATTCATAAGTGAACATGATTATTTTAAAAAGGTCTGACTGCAAGACTATTACCATCTTAGATCTAGATTATACTCCTATTAATGTAAGCTCAGACTACAGTAGTTTTTTGGGTTTTGGCTGACAGTTTTATATTAATTAGTCCAACGTATTCCATTTTTGTCACAAATCTCCCCCAACCTATATTGAGGCAGTAAACTTATCTCTCTTAAAATTTTAATTTGGCCACTGTGCCAAGCCAATCAGATCTTTTACGGTCTTCATTATATTTTCTAACAGACTGACTAACCCTTCAAACTTTAAATTTGTAAATTACATGACAAGCATATCTTCCAAATATTCTATGAAGTTTTTAATTAAAGTATTGACCAGAACAAGGTTAAGATCACAGGCTTGTAATCTTTTGCACAACAAGGTGAAATATGGTAAAAGTAACTGTTTGTATGACCATATCTAAAGGGATATGAAAATGTCAAGAGTAGCACCCTAAAAGTAACACCCTACTCTTGACATTATTTATCATATCCCTTCAGATTTGATCATTCAGTTACTTTTTACCATATTTTACCTTCTTGTGTAAGAGATTATGAGACTGTAAAATACTTTGAAGCCCAGATATGTCTATCACACTTTTATGACCTTAGAGTCCTGTAACCCTGTCAAGAAATGAGATTTAACTTAACTATTACAACACTACACTAAGAATTCAAAAGATCATTTATAATCCTCACAAAAACATTCATTTGGCTGACAACATGCAAGCTACTTCTCTGGGCATCAGCCACTTCACCTGACAGAGACTGCTAATTGTCTATCCAGTATCCATTTTTACCTTTCACAATAAAATCATATTTTATTTGAGGTGGCAAAGTACTCACTAAAAAAAAGTTCCTAGTCTTCCTTTCAACTGTGATGTAAACAGAAGTAGTTGGGTGGGACTTTCAGAAAGTCTCATTAAAGGGGATTTACTCAATGGCAGGCACCTTGTTTGCCCGTTTTATCTTTCTCCTGCTTCCTGCCTGGAACTTGAGTATGATGTTTAGAGCTCCAGGAGCCATCTCAGTCCTTGAGATCACTTTAAGGATGGAGGCCATGACAGAAAAGAAAGATGAAAAATGCCTGGATTATTTCATACCAGCCTTGGACAACCTACCTCCAGATAACTTTTTTTTGGTAAGACAAACCTCTGTCTTATTCAATCCCGTTACTTAGGCATTAGCCTATGTGCAGGTAAACCTAATTCTAGCAGACCTTCTTGAGATGCTTGCTGACATCATGATCTATACCAACCAAACCCATTGACATCGAGTTGATTCTATGACCCTATAGGATAGAGTAGAACTGCCCCCTCTAGGGTTTCCAAGGAACAGCTGGTAGATCCTAACTGCTGATCTTTTGATTAGTAGCTGAGCTCTTAACCACTATGCCACCTTGGGTCCATGATCTATACCAGGGGTCAGCAAATCTTTTCTGTAGAGGACCAGATAATAAAGGTTTTGCCAGCCATTCAGTCTCTGTTCCTGCTATTCAATTCTGCTACTGTAGCACAAAAGTAGCCATAGACAATATGTAAATGAACAAAGTAGCTATGTTTCAATAAAACTTTACTTACAAAAACAGATTTGGCCTGTAGGCTGTAGCTTGCCAGACCCTGATCTATACAAATAAACAACAAATCAGGCCTTTTCAACTGTTTGACTATTTAACTTCTTTATCAAGAGTAGTTAACTCTAAAGAAACAGGGGCACTGGGCATAAAAAACAAAATAAATCTGTTCTCTTAATAAATTTAAAGATAGTCCTATTACTTTTATAAACTATTTAAAGGAAGAAAAGAAGTTTTTGGCGTAAGCAGTTAAGCACTCAACAATTAACTGAAAGGTTGGTGGTTCAAACCCACCGAGAGGCACCTTGAAATAAAGGCCAGGAGATCTGCTTACGAAAAATAAACAACCTTGAAATCCCTATGGAGCACAGTTTTACTCTGTAACATGGGGTCGCTGTGAGTGACAATCGACTCGACAACTGGTCTGGTTTTTTTGGTATAGAAAGGAATATAAATGTCACATTTTGAGAATAACTTGGCATGATGTATCACAATATATACAGGTAGTCCCCGACTTACAATGTTATTCGAGTTACAACAAACCGCACTTATGACCATCTTTTTTTCTTTTTGTACATCTTATCATAGTAATATGTACTACATACAATGTTGCAACACGTAATTTGCTGATGTTATCATTCTCAGACGTTCGCTCACAGATGTTTACATGTAATGTTTTCAACCTCCGCAGACAAATAAAAATGGGATTTATAAACATACTGATACTAAAAGGCAATAATAATGAAAAAAAGAAAAAAAAAAAAGAAGTACTCCACTTATGTCAGAAGTGACTTACGACTGAGTTGTCATAAGTTGGGGACCACTTGTAATGATATGTTATACATTTTCTAACCAAAATTCTACTTCTAGGAATTTAATCAGGAGATCTGGAGCAAGATGACATTCTGAACAACTCCACACTTAAAGCCACCAAAAAGCAGTAAATAATAGATGTTGGCTAGGATGTGGAGATATTGGATCCCTCATCCATTGCGGGTGGAATTGTAAAATGGTGCAGCCACTAGAGAAACAGCTTGGCAGTTCCTCAAAAGTTAAACATAGAACTACCATATGACCCAGCAATTCCACTCCTAGGTATACACCCAAAAGAACTGAAAGCAGGAACATAAATAGATACTGGCACACCAGTGTTCACTGCAGCAATATTCACAATAGCCAAACTAGTGGAACCAACCTAAACATCCATCAAGAGATGAATGGAGAAGCAAAATATGGTACATACATACAATGGAATATTATTCAGCCATAAAGAGAAATAAAAGTCCTGATATATGCTAAACTATGGATGAACCTTGAAAACATGCTAAGTGAAATAAGTCAGTCACAAAAGGACAAATATTGTATGATGCCCCTTATAAGAAATATCTAGAATAAGCAAATGTAAAGAGATGAAAGTTCACTAGTGGCTACGGGGGGTGGAGAATGGAGGCAGGAAGGACGACACAATGCTTAGGGGACACTGAGCGCCTGTTAAGGGTGATGGAATGGTTAATGATGATGGTTGAACATGATGAACATATTTAACGTCACCGAGATATATATGTGACGATTGTTGAAATGGCAAATGTTTTGTGATGTATATATTTACCACAATAAAAAAAAGAAGAAATAGGCAACATCAAAATAAAGCTTTGGTTTGCTACGTGCTGCACCCCACACCCTCTCTGGCTTAGTGCCATCTTAAAGCTGTGGCAGCCCACATTCCCAGGAGGGAACCTGGTCTCTGGCTCTAGACAGAGCAGAACAGACTTTATTCGCGAGTACTGTAGGTGTCTGTTCTAACCTGTCTGGGGGCTGCCTGAAGGACTGATGCAAAGCACTCATCTCTATTTGTTTTGCAGCACATGCAGGGCAAAGGGACAGAGGGCAATACCCAAAGGCTGTAACTTCCTGTAGCCATCTAGGGCTAAAGAATGCAATTAAGGCATAATAAAGGCCTAATGACTGCAATGAGAAGCCAGGGAGAGTTTCTTTGGGAAATAGGGGCATTCAAAAGCACCGTGTATACAGAGGAATTGAGAGAGCCACATGCATGCCCAGGGAAAGACACATGCTAGAAAATACATGGGAAGACCCTACACTTTCACCTGAGGCTGATCCCTAGGCTCACTGTAAACCTAGCTTAAGTGTTGAAGGAGTGTCCAGTGCAGAGCCAATCTGCAAAGACTGGGAAAGGTTTGTTCTCCCCTGGTGATCAAGGAAATCTCTGTCAAAATACTAGCTGAACACAATCTAAAGAATAGACTTCAGTGTCCACACATAATCATGAAGGCAGTCTTTGCAAAAATAGTTAGGCGAAGTCACTAAACAAATAGACTCCAATAGCTTTTATCAGTGAAAAAAAAATTTAAAAACAGAAA